TTTTTACTATTCACCTTAAGCCAGGTCAAGAACGAGGAAAAGGCTAGAACACAGAGCTGTTAGCTCGTGATCAAAATAGCCGGCCAGTTCGGTCAAATAGTAACTGAGCTGGTTATAGCAGTTATAAATCTTTTTCTAAAATTTCAACGATAATGGTTTTTTAATCTCAACTAAACAAGGTAGCGATTTTCCCAGTGATTTATGGTGTAAAAGAATTGTAAATTGTTCTATCTACGTATGGTAAAAGATGATATTCTTTTTTTTGTTGTTGTTGTTGCGCAGGAAAGATATGTAGCTAGTCTTATGCCTCTACAGAGAAGCATCTCTCCTTGGAAGGTAAGAAATGGACGCTTTTGATTTTATGAAGTAAACCGATGTGATATTTCAATCCCCTATTGATAGCAAATTGCACTTTGCTTGTGTTAGATTTGCTGTGGTCCGAAAGACGGATTTCTTTTAAAAGTCTTTTGTCGTTTTTGATAGTAATTTTCATCCTTCTGAGCATCTTGTTCATTGTATTTCTATCTCTCCTAGACATTGCCATTTTTACCGTTTTAAACAGTAATTTTCATCCTTTTGAGCATCTTGTTCGTTCTCTTTATGTCTGTCTCAGACATTTCTATTGTCACAGACATTATCACCGACACTCACCATTTGATCTTCTTTCATCTCTACCTCTACCTTATCCTTATTGTCATTGTCGTCATCATTTGAAATCTTTAACTTTAAAGAGTGAGCAAGACAGAATTGCTCCTTAAAATATCAATACAATATCAAGCAGACAACGGATTCGATTAGGGGAAAATATCAATTAGGGGATTATTAGTTGATCCCATAGTTAATTCTCTAAACTAACATCATAAGAATTGGATGACAGACAGTCATACAGAGAATTTCTAACGAGATCTTGGGACTGAAAGAGTTATACTGTTTTTCCAAAGCATCCTCCTGGACTGCGGCCTTTTGACGCAGACGAATTTCTCACAACTTTGGAGCATTCTGGACCACAATTAACATCCAGATTGAAGGGGAACTGGGTCGGACTCTACAGGTAACAACAAAAAGTCGATCACTTAATGGAGTCCTTGACGAGCATGATGAAACTGAAGTATGTTTTCAGTCGGAGTGTAAATGTTCGGTTTCCTGTGCACCAGGCCCAGTCTCTACCGAGGTTTTGTCATTCGACACTAGGTCAAACCTCGGCGCACATGTGTTTTTATCGCTTGTTATTTTCACCTTTTTTCTTTTGGATAAGGATCATTTAACTATACTCCCATCGAAGGAATAGAACATTACAGAATCATTACGGATATTGTAGCAGGTTTCAAGGTTACAGACAAGAACACTTGCCTGTTTGAAAGGATTTCTCTTACGGTATTGTACTCGAACAGTGTGCTGACCGTAGTTGGTCAGATCGAATAAAACGTGGAATGACACTGAATTGACGGCTGTTACATGGAGTCCAACCAATTATGAGCCGTTCAAATGCTTTCGTATGTAGCTATATAAATGGCATTCAACCCTTTCACCCGTATCAGGGTCCAGCATGTAATTTCTCCTTACCATGTCACCCCTGAATCACACATTCTGGTCAGGAGAATTAAGGAAATGATCACCAACTAATACGCTCTTGATTGTTAAACAAATTCTCCTTGTCAGTATCAAGACAAATGTATAGAGAACAGTGTGGAGAATATGCGTAGTGATGTTAGGCTGTAAAATACTCGTGGAGAGTTAAAAGAAAAACTAAGTTGATATCATTGGGAACTTGCCCTGCATACGTTTAGGATCAGAGTGTCGATGATATTTAATGCTGAGGAACCTGAAGAAAGCGGTGGTTATTGAGTAATTTCGCCTCTTATTCAAGGAAGAATCAGTTGTTATTGGTTATTTTTTAAATTTCCTCTCTTCTTATAGCGATTTTTTTTTTGTTTTTTACTTCAGTTTTGGTTTCTCAACAGTCAGTCGAGGTGCGCTCTGTGGAGCGAAGAGTGAACACGAAATTTCTTAAGTACTTTTTGCTGAGTGATAAAATTTATTTTTAAAAGAACTTCGGCGACAATTTTTAGAGCATTTCAGCGAATGTCTCACTGTGTAGCAAACACCGATTAACAGAACAGCATTTGCCTAACCATTTCTTGTTGCAAGCCTTGCAACAAGAAATGAAAGAAAGAAGTTGTGGACTTTATAAAGCTAATTTTTTTGTTTTACATGTCATCTCCAGGAAATTTTTTAGGTGTGCAAACTTTGAAGGCTGGTTAAGACACCGACAGCAAGAGATTAGACAGAAGCTGGAACTTCTTCATTTAGAAGTCCTCGGGAAGGCTGTGAGTACTGTTTTATACGAGTTTTTTTCGGACCCCATCCGATTTCCGTCGCTTTCATCTGATTTCGGGTGCTATTGTCCAATTTCAGACGCCATTGCAAAATTTAGGACGGTATCGTCAAATTTAGAACGCAGTGGTCCAATCAGTTCAGACGCAGTTGTCTAATTTTGGATTCTGTCGTCCAATTTCTGGCCGTTTTATCTGATTTCAGACGCTATTGTCCAATCCCGTACACTATCGTCCAATTTCGGACACTATGGCCCGATTCCGGACGCTATCGTCCGATTTCGGTAACTATCGTCTGATTTCGAACACCATCCGATTTCGGACACTATCGTCCGATTTTGGACACTATCGTCAAATTCCGGACACTATCGTCCAATTTCGGACACTATTGTCCACTACTGAGCTGTTTTTTTTTTTTTCTTAATGAGTTTTTCGTTCTCGTTTTTACGTAGGATGTTGTAGGTTGGATTCAAGACAAGCAGGAAGTTGAGACAGTTGATCTGTTCTTACAGATCAAAGAGAAGCTGGTATGTTAAATTTTTCCATTCACTGTTCCTTCTTGTTTACTTTTCGCGGTAGTTTTCGAATTCTAAGGATGAAACGCTGGTCTGAGACGAATGAGGCGAAAGCTACCGAGCAGTAGTATCATGTGGTACTCTTTAAAATACGGTAAAGGGAAGTTCTTAGTTTTTATAGTATGGATAAAACCTTAGTGAGAGATCCTTCAAATGAAAGCCACAGAGTAGTACTATACTGTGCACAGCGGTCAAACGTCTGCGCATGTGCTAACGTTGTAATGGTGCTGTGTGTTGTGCTGCATCAAGGGTTTCTTTCTTGGAGTCTAATCAGCCATATTCATCTTTCAGGCTGGTTCAGCTTCTATATACCCTCCTGTGAGCCTTGAAGTCAAACAACAATTGAAAGGTCACCTTTCGTCAATTATTAGAACTCTTCCTGAAGACCTTCAGTTTGTTTTGAAGAACAGCTGACAGCATAGACTTCTTCTGGAGTATTCTTAGTTTGCCTGGAGAAATACACCTTCCTTGACAAAACTATGTTTCCAATGGAGAAATGCTACTGTGTCAGTTTGTCTGCACCAGTTAAACCAACTTTGTGGCATTTAAGAAAATTTTATCTTTTGAAAAAGAAGTAATTGCTTTTCGTACGAGAGAGGTATATTTTAATTTATTTTACCATTTAAAATGTGACGCAAAAGTTTTGAAATTGATATTACAAATTATTAAACCGGAGCCAAAAAGGGAGGAAAATAAACTGGAATTCATCGCCAGTGCGCTTCTCGATTTAGAGTCGTAAAACCTAAACCAAAGTCACAAGAGTGGGCCAATCGAAAGAGCGGAAAATACCTTAAGGAGCCAATGAGAACTCAAAATAAAACAAGCAAACCGCCGAAAAACGCGGGAAAATGCGGGCGACCAAGTCGTGATTGGTTTTAGTTTTGCATCTGAGATGGTTGAGAGAGTGGCACAAGTTTTCTGGACCAATCACAGCGGGAACTGAGTAGAGTTAAAGAATCCCTGATTACTTTCGACGCTCCAGTGAAAAATGCTCTTTCTCGTCACAAAAAGTAATTATTAGTGAAAGAAATATTTATGTTGGACCCAAACTTGAAACAATCTAATGATTGCATTTTGATTTATTTCCCTATGGAGCGTCTATAAAATGTAGTGATGATTAATAAGCTTTCTTTGTAAATAGTATAAAAAAAGTATATTTTTTTAAGTGGGAAACTTTTATTTCGAAAATGGCGTAGCATGTACTTACATTTTAAAGATTTGTTAGATGAGACGGTGGTTTCCATCAAGGACGACTGTTCGCAACAGTGCTGCGTCTTTAACTTTTTATACGTTGATGTTTAAGGATAACTCCACCTAAGGGATAAAATTGTTAATTATGTTATCCGAAAAGTCGATTTGTCGTAAAAAGAGGGAAATAAGCACACGTGTAGAGTAAAATAAAGTAGAATTGTTAGCCATTTGGATTTTTGAACAGCATTAGCCCTTCTTCAAAGCAAAGGAAAAAGGAGTTGTTTTGGGAATAATCCAAAACATCAATATTTTTCTGCTGTAAAATATAGCGCCTATCGTAATTAGAAGTGAGTGATTAAAAACAAGAATGCTAAGTGTTTTGCGAAGACTTACGTGGAAATCTCCTTTTCTGAGGAGTTTCATTGTTTGAGTTTAATATTACGGAAATTACCAAGATGAATATTTTCTGTGTTAGGGGTATAGAAATGAAATGGTCTGTTGTCTCCCAACAACCCTAACTACGTATTCCTCAGTGAGAGGCCGTAAACCCGTGAGAGATGTTGATTACATCATGATCCATCCCGGAGAGAGATATGACGTTTTACTCAGTGCAACAGAGAAACGTAAAAACTACTGGATACGCGCAGAGATCATGGAAATTGATCACAGGCCGCAGGCCACCCTACGAGTCACTAGGACAAGTGGCAGAAGCTATTTTGCAGTTCGAACAGATGACGGTTGGGATCCGGATGAAAATGTACCATCGAGTAAATATAGGCAAATCAAAAACAAATCTCGCAGAAAGTGCGCCAAAAAGAAAAAATGCGGAGCGGTGAACTACCCATTTGAGAACTTTCATCCTTCCTTTATCATTAACTGTACTAATGTACACGACCTGAGTTTACTCGAGCGCACTCCACCTGAGGAACTTCCAAATGCAAGCCCCACCAAAGGATGCACAGACTTTCGTCAACTTTCATTTTGAAGGCCAATCTGATACTAGTTCAGTGAATGGGCGCAATTTTATTCTTCCCTTCTTTCCACCCCAGACCCAATATGACAATTTTAAAAACATATGACATGATCTGCAACCTTATTACGGCTGACTGCAATCTATCGACACTCGAGTGTCCATGTGATCGACATTCCCTTTGACAAAACTATTCAAATGGTGTTCTCATCAATTGGTGCTACCCCCAGTGCTCATCCAATTCACCTGCACGGCCATGCGTTTCATGTTGTTGCCGTTGGATATCCAGAATATAACGACACCACTGGTTTTGTTCAAAAACCCAACAGTGATATATACTGCGCTGATATCAAATGTACTAAAGAAGGGTGCGTGAAAACCGGTTGTACCAGACCAAGCAGGAAGACAGACCCAATGTGTTTTTCCATCAATGACCGCACGATCAGAAAAGACAGTTATGGTCCCTGTCGGGGGTTACGTTGTCATCAATTTCCTTCCTGATAATCCGAGCCAGTGGTTTCTTCACTGTCACAAAGAATTGCACCTACTTGAGGAAATGGCACTGATTGTCAATGAGGCTTTGGAGGAGCAACGCAAATTGCATCCACCCAAAGACGTGAACAAGTGTGGAGACTTTATACTATCAGAAACAAAGTAGGTCTTAACATTCTCAGAAGCTGTTAGTCTCTACAAAACTAGTAATTGAAAACATTTCTGCAACGATGTATGTGCTAAGATCCAGAATTAAGTATTTTGGACTCGAGTGAGTCAAATCGAATACCCGGTAACAAAAAGTATTTTTGTATCCTTAAGCCTGGTTCACACGTGTGGTGCAAACGCAAACGCAAGCGCAAATGTAAATGCAAGGATCTAATTTTGTGGACTACCCTAACGCAACTGCAATTGCAAACGCAAGCGTCGAGGAATGGAAACAAGGCAAATACAAATACTAATGCAAATGCAAATGCGAGCGTCAACGCAAGTAATGAAAAAAACTTTCATTTTTTTAAACTTACAGTTGCGTTTGCTTTCGCTTCCTACAATTGTGAACCGTGGCAACACAAACGCAAATGCAAACGTAAGGCGAAAAAAAAAAAAAGTTCCATCTTTTTCATGCCACCACGGCACGAAAAAGAACACGCACAGAGAGTGAGGAAATTTCATGTACTTTTCGTAAAGCGTTTTCTTGAATTCAGATTGTATCAGACTAGAATGAGACATTTCAGATACTTAACAACTTGTGCTGATTAGTTTTGGTATCTCCAGGCTAGCTTTTCAGTTATTTAACCTTTTTGACGTGTGCTCGATTGCCTAAAAGATTTTTTTCGTGGATCTTTTAAATATCCAGAATTGAGCATTTTAGGCTAGAGTGAGTCAAATCAAATTCTCGGTAACAAGAGGGTAGTCGTGTTATTTTTCTTTTTTACCATATGCCCACTCCAGCGCCACTTGTGCAATCTCAAAGCAGTCGTATTTAGGGCCGAACGGGTTGACGCGAGCCGGTTCGGAAGAAGCCGTCCGGTCCAAGTGTATTTGTACGGCGACATTGTTCGCTGTTGTTGCAAAATACGACTGACAGCAATGAACGAAAAAAGAGAAAATAAGTCATCTTTTTCAATGAATTGTGAGTTTGTATTTCTGACTCGAAAAAATAACGAGAAGGTTTTAACCGCAGGGTCTTTTTTGTACCTTTCCCGCGCATGCCAGTCTATCGCTTTCTATTTAAGTTAAAACAAACTTTTCAAATTTCGTTCATCACGCACGAACCTTGCTACACTTGGTCCGTACGTCATTACGTAGAGTCCTCCCTCTCAGTGAATAAGTACATGGTATCTTTAGGCTTTGCTGAATTGTTGCTGTTGAGAACGACTCAATAAATCCGCGGTTAAACTCATCGTTTTACTTTATTGTGACTAAGGACAAAACCTCCCTGGCGAATACTCGATCTACATAAGGCAAAATCTCCAACCAAGTAAAAGTACTTGACATTTGGGATTTGATCCCTGTCACTCATTTTAAAAATACCGTAAATGTAACGCAACGTCACGTTCTCCAGAACAGTTGCATCACCTTTTCAATCGTCAACTCGGGGTTTGGTGCATTTTTTAGATTCAAAACTAAGCATTTTAGGCAAGTGTGAAACCAGTGCGGGACTGGTATTAGACTAGACTAGCGTGCGATATTATTTGTCAGAAGTAGTTTTTGTATATGTGAACCTAGCAGAGTTATTTAATCATATTTCATGAGTATTTAATCAACTACTTTATTTCTTGTGGATCTTTAAAGGTCCAAAATTAAGTATCTTTAACCAGGGTGAGGCAACTGATTTGAGTAAACGTTAACAGTAATCCATGAGTAGATTTTGTTCGCAACTGTAAGCTTTCCTGTGGTGTTTTTATCTCTTCTTTAGAATGACAATTACTTTTACAGCAGGCTCGTAAGCTTTTAAGCTTTTGTTCAACAACTCCATATAGATCAAAGAAAATGTCAATTAGAAACGATAAACTCAGAGACACTCTGACACTTGATCGGTTAACAAGTTTTTATATCAATTTCTCTCACTTTTTAACGTTAGACCACCTTTTTAGAGAGTCATAAGCAATGTGTGACGAACTAAAGAAAATATTGTAATAAATTTGTTTGACTGATTGATTTGACTTGACTTAATCACTTTTGTATGTTTGGGGCGATGTAGGAAACATCATTATTCGAAAGTCATGTGGAATATGCAATTGACAAGGTTAAAAGATACTACTATAAATTTGTTGCTTAGGGGATTGATTTCAATGTTTAATCATTCTCCTTCGAATTCTGTTTGGAGCGACGGAGGAAACGCAAACTCACTCAAAACCCCAACTGCCCCTAACACCGAATAAAGAATGAAAACTAGATTTTAAGCCTGTTTACCTATTTTGAAAACCAATGATAGGTTTACAGTCAAACTAAGTGAAGCGTACCCCTCAAGATTACATTAATGAATTGATCATTTGGATATTGAACCCGCCAGTCGTTTCAAGAATGCAATAATGAATTGATTAYTTGATTCAGGTTGAACCCGCTGGCCGTTTCCGCACGAATGCAATAATGGATTGATTATTTGAATATTGAACCCGATAGCAGTATCCGTTTTGAAAAGGCGCGGATCATTGTTCAAATTAGAAGTCCATTTCTTAAGTCCATTCAGATTGTTCTATTTGACGAGGAAACCTGAAAATGAACAAACTGCACTGTGAAAACACTGCGAAAACAGTCGATCGCAAATATTAACGAAATAAAAAAAAGTC